AAAAAAATAATGTTAGTACCCTTCCACAATAATAAAAGTAAGTAAGTTTATTTTGGCTGTTCCCAAGATAGAGATGTTGTTAGAGACAAATGTGTAGCATTTACCTTAAACAAGAATAACAATGTACAATGCCGAACTACCAAATGACAAGTTTGTACGTTTGTTTGATAAAGCTGATAAACTCTCAAATCAAAAAGTATTTGGACTCATTTAACATCTTACCTGCCCATCAATCTGTTTTCAGGAAACAACACAGCACAACGACTGCTTTGCTGAAGGTTTTTAATGATGTGGTTGAAGCACTGGATGCCAAGAATTAGGTTCCTTTTTTCAGTCCCTTTATCCCTGGGGTTCCAAGCATGCCGACTTGGCACTAAAATGTGACGTCAGAACACTGTTCATCACTGATTGGTCAGGGGGTGGACTCACTGGTGGTCTGAGAAACTTTCACAACAACCTGATCCACCATTTGCAATAACTTATACTCGAGGAGTGACTGGACTTATTTTTTAAGATTTTAAAAATAGTAATGATGACACTGTAATCTAATGCTGAAGTGAAGGCATTTTTTTTTGTGCTTGGTGGCCGACAACAAAATTCAGACTTAAAATTCAGACTATAACTCAATTTTTGGCTGAGATCTGATGATTTCATTCATTATGACATGGAAAATATTGAACACTACCATTTTCAGCCACTAGAGGTCCCTCGACTAATATGGCAAGCCAAGTGTCTCATTAATAGGTTAAAGTGGCTATTAATGAGACACTTGGCTTGCCATACAAAGCCACCTTCATCTTGCTCCGGAACTCCTGGATCAAATGTCAAATGAGCTGCATTTTGCCATGCCACCCAGGCAAAGTGCAGCTCATTTGACCGTCAAAGTGCATTTATTAAGACAAACTTCAACTGAGTCACACCTTTACTATAATGTCAAGCAAAGAAATAATTGTTTTAGGTGGTTATCTTGTTTAATTTTGAAGAAATGCAGAGCGAGTCGTCCCTCTACTTGCTCGCGTAGCTGCAAATTGGCTTTTGAAATGCAGCTGATTTGACTGTCAAAGTGCATTTATTAGGGAAAAGTTCAACTGACACAGACCTTTGCTAAAATTTTGAGCAAATAAATAATTGTTTTTAAGTGTTACTCTTGTTAAATTCTAGCTAAAGTCCTCCCGTGCATGTTCCCGCAGCCGTGATTTGGCAGCCATTCGATTCTTGGTATAACCCACATTTCCGGGTCGTCAGCAGTGACATGTAACAATCATGACGCACCAGCGATGACGCATAATAGATGTAACTTATACAGCAAAGCAACATATATATATTTTTTTCCACTTTATTAGACATATTTGGACTGATGTGACTTATACGGTGGTGCAACGTATACAGCAGCAAGTATGGTAGTTAAGATAGGACCCAATGATACAGGCTCAAACAAGGACTTGAGTAAAAAATAAAACAATTTAAATGAACAAATACAAAAGACTGATGTGACAGGAAAAAGGTAGGTTTTAATTGGCACAAGATAAAATATGCATGAAAAATGAGACAATGTATATTTTTTTCAATCCCAATACATGTGTTCCAATGTAAAACAAATAAGGCGCTCTCACATGTGTATTTTTTTGTATGTTGGGATGCATGTATGCCATGCACTTTCAGTGTGAAAATTTCCAAAATAGGGAATCTTGTAGAACAACTCTACTTGGCAGGAAGAGCCCTACATAACGCCTACAAGATCTCTACGCAGGCATCATCTCTGCCTGTCAAGCAAAATCAAAGAAAAAAGATAAAAGAAAATATTTTATTTCACACAATTTTCAAAATAAAGAATGTGTGTTTATGAATTATACATGAATTCATGCCCCTGCAACTTCAGATGATATTTCACACTTTTTCTCATTTCCAGGAACCATTAAATGGTATATTTTTACCAACGTTTGTGGCAGTTGTTAGATACACACATGCTCTTTTTTAACATTGATGCCACAATGAAGTGAATGTAGAAAAAAAGATGACCATAGCAAGTATACCAAATATGCTAAAATTCTCACCCATGAAAACATCAAGAATGCCCTTGCAAGGCAAGTGGAAAAGAAAAGTGGAGAGCTAGAATGCTTTAAAACACAAACAAGATTAGCAATCACAACATATTATTTATGTTTAGAATTTTGATGGGAATCAGAAGGAATTATCACTATTCTCTAATTTAAGCTTTCTCCATTCTCTCCTCTGGCATCTTGACGTCTGACGTTCAAATTTGCAGAAGAAAAAAACAACCCCTTCCTGCATTTTTATTCTTGGTCAATATAACCGGACATGATGTATGTACATGCTTCATGCCCCAACCTCACAGTATGCTCAGTGCACAGTGTATCCTGTGTGAAAGAGGCATGAGATTAATCCTGAACATACTGCTCAGGCAAAGCTCAGGGATTTAAAGGGACACATTAAAATATCTTGTAATGAAGTCAAAGCAAGACTTCAGTTCAACTGACAAAGCTGGGTATGACTTAAAGATTACTTTTTCTGCATAAACCATCCAGTTTTAGGTAGCGAAGCACTAAATCATTTGCAAACATCCCAAAGGTCATGTGCGCTGCAAGATGCTCCAAAAAATACATGCAGCTGTTTTTATTTTATTTTTATTTTTTTTAATTATTATTATTTTGACCCATATGCTATTTATTTAAATTTGTTGGCATGATACAAGAAATAATAATCAGTTGTAACAAACAATCATTTAAATTATTACAAAAAAAGTATGTGGTTCTTTATTATAAAGATTGCGGTCTTTGTTGGAAAATAATGGTCACCATAATTTTATTTCAGTTTATAGTGCAAATTATTAGCCTATTAAATGTTGATTGAGATAATCAATCTTCTTTTTATTTTTCACAAGAACTGGGAAACACATAAAATAAAATAAAATAAAAATGGAACCTAATGAAGCACGGTGGCACAACTGGTAGAGCTGCTGCCTCTCAGCGAGCAGGTCCTTGGTTCAAACCCTGGTCCAGGGGCCTTTCTGGGTGGAGTTTGCATTTTCTCTCCGTGCATGCGTGGGTTTTCTCTGGGTACTCCGGTTTCCTCCCACAGACCAAAAACATGCATGTTAGGCTGATTGGTAACTCTAAATTGTCCCTAGGTGTGAGTGAGAGAGTGAATGGTTGTTTGTCTCGTTTGTCTCTATGTGGCCCTGTGATGGACTTGCTACCTGTCCAGGGTGTACCCCGCCCCTCACACAGTAATTGCCGGACATGGGCACCGGCGACCCCCGTGACTCCAAATGGAATACACGGGTAAGATAATGGATGGATGGATGGAACCTAATGAGATCCTAAAGACAGATCTGTGCACTTGAAACAGTTTCCTTCCTTCCATTGTCTTCTGGCAAAATGATCATGTTTACAACCACTACTGTTATATGTTCCAACATATATTTCTTAATGAAGCAACAACTCATCTCACAACATTTAAGAAACAAATGTTTGTTTGTTTTTTGTTGTTGTTTGTTTTGTTTTTTTCAGAAATCTGAAACATAAGATGATCCTTTGCAGTAATGTTTCTAATGGATGTTTTCTTATGTTTTGATTTTCCTTTAGGGCAGCACGGTGGCACAGGTGGTAGAGCTGCTGCCTCTCAGCCAGTTCAAATCCCAGTCCGGGGGCCAATCTGGGTGAAGTTTGCATGTTCTCTCCGTGCATCCGTGGGTTTTCACTGGGTATTCTGGTTTCTTCCCACATACTAAAAACATGCATGTTAGACTGATTGGTAACTTGAAATTGTCCCTGGGTGTGAGTGAGAGAGTGAATGGTTGTTTGTCTCATTTGTCTCTATTGCCCCTTTTCCACTGTGACGGCGCGGGTCAAATATGCTCTGGTCACCAAGGTTTGAGCGCTTTCCACTAGTACTCTGTACCAGTTTCGCTCCCTTTTTTTGTCCCTTCTTCTCAAGGGGTCCAAGTGAGCCGAGCCTGCATAAAAAACATGACGTCAGAACACTGTCGGTCACTGATTGGTCAGGGGGAGGAGACAATGGATCTTTCAGAAAACTTTTCACTGATCCGCCACTTGCAATTACTCAGAACTCAGAGCAACAGCTGGATCTATTTTTAATATAAAAATAACAATAATGACAACACCTTGTTCTAATGCTGAAGTGCAGGTATTTTTTGTGCTTATTGGCCAACGACATCATTCAGAGTGAGCGAGATGGAGCTCCACCAGTCTCTTATGAGCTTTGGAGCCCGCTCAGGGTGTCATGTCCCCGGCTCCGAGCTCCGCAGGTCACTGCGGAAGATCGTTCGTGCTGACAGCTCGGCCTCTGTCTTCTAATCCTGAAGTTCATGCATTATTTGTATTTGGTGACCGACAACAAAATTCAGAGTGAGCTAGTCACCGTGCAGGATCATATGAGCTGCCAACCTGTTGAAGCACAAGAGGCCGGGGGCCACACCCCGATTTTGCGTGCTCACAGAGGCCGGATCCCGAGCCCCGGCAGACGGATGGATCGGGACGGAGGGTGGAGACATTAAAAAGAAACAAACATTTTATGTATAAAAAAATAATGTTTTTTTGTTTTGTTTTTTTGTATCAGTGAAGATTAAAAATAAATAAACGGTGTCGGCTTTATCATGAAATCCTGTTTTCACTTTGACTTTATTAAATAATCCGTTAATTAAAGTTAACTCGGCTGAAAAATCATAAAAGACAAAATTATTGGATGTCTCAGGAACATTTCCCTCAAATATGTTTAAAGAAGAGCTACAGGCTTTAGTTCCAACTTTATTCTAACCCACAGATGTACAAACCATAAAACAAGAACTGGAGCATTACTCACCTTCTGGTATTTGTGCCATCTGCCTCCTTGTGTTAATCCTCTAACTTACTTATATACTTACCTGGTGTTCTCCTCGTGTTCTCATAGAACCTGTTTCCTGAACCTACAGTCCTTATCGCTGCACAAATCCTCGACTCCTGTGCCTACCTGCAAGTTACCATTCTTCCTTGTGGATCTTCTCCAGCTGCTCCATCACTTTCCAACCGTTTGACTCCACGCTCCACCTATACTCCAACCAGGTCATGACTAACCTGGAGTCCTCTGCCCTCCTCTCTACGCTACCTCTTACCCATCGACCTGTACAAAATCAACAACCTGCACCATCTAACAGTTCCTCACAGTTCCTGACACCTCTCCTTCTTCCCCAGGTTTCCCAGGGTCTCCAGCGATATATAACATATATATATTTTAATTCACTGTAAATAAATCACTTTATATCATAAAAGGTTTTGAGTCTGTTCTCCTCAGTCAGTTCTCTCGGGGTAAACACATCCACTGTGACAATAAATAAATAAATAAATAAATTGAGTATATTTGATGTTTCAAAATGGCATGGGGATCAAACATTTGTTTAAATCTACCTAACAAAAAATATTATTTATTTTCTAGGAGATTCATTTTTAAATATCTAACCAGGTTACTACCGTCATTTAAATTTTAAATATTTAATCATTTTCATTGTATTCTTTGTTTTTTTTTACCCTCTCGCACTCTTCTTGTCTCATCAGGGTGGAAGTTGAAGCCACATGAAATATTACTCTTTACCAAAATGTTTATCTGCTCATGTTGCCATGGCAATACGTGCAGATGAACATTTTGCAGGTGACAAAAGCTTACTGCAACAGAATAGAGCTGGCAAACAAGCATTTAATGTCTGCACCTAAATATACAATACTTTGGAAAGTGCAGCATTTTATTGGAAAATACCCAGTGGGGTATAACTGACGATCTGACCGAGATTAAATTTAAAATTGCAAAATTATCTATGATTACTGAAGGTTACATATGTGTATATGCAATAACCTGAACATGTACACACAGATAGGCTAAAGTATAAAGAGGAAAGTGTGTGCTGCACTGGAATATAATCATTTGTACTGTTGCTTTTTGGTAAGAAGATTGTTAGTTCAAATATCACCTGGATCCTTAGGAATTTATGTACTTCCTGTATCTGCATGTTTTTTTTTTTTGTTTGTTTTGTTGTTTTTTTACTCCATGTACTCCTTCTTGTTTTCCCAGGTACTTCCTGATTCCTGCTTCCTTCTACAGTAAAAATAAATAAATAAAAATGAATGCAAATTCAAATCCAGGTGATCCAACAGCTGTTTCTTTTGGGAACATCTTTTTTGTAATTAGAAGTGCAGATTTGATATTTGAAACAAAGTGGCACAAGCAGATCAAGTGTCAAACACCCTAGAATTCTGGTAGTATGGGATGGCATTAACATTTTGCCACCATTTCCTGTAACTTATTTTGTAGAAGCATGATTGTGTGTGTTAGTGTCTGTTATTTTGTGTGAGTGTGTGTATGCGCACTGCAGGGACACATGTATAAGTTCAAGTTTATTGTCATTTGCATCACATGTGGTATATGATGTAGAACAGACCTATGTAGACAAGGTCCCAGTTACACCCAACAATAGCAAAATATAAAGTATAAAAAGGAAACAGTAAATATGGATCTAAGATATAAACTAAACGAATGCCAGCCGGCACTCTAAAAGATCGAAGATATACTTTAAACACTAAAAATGTGAAACAATACGGTGTAAAATCAGCAACCCGAACATAAGTTTGTGCTGAGCTGATGGGTATGAATGAATACAGCAGCATGACTTAATCAGCAGCATGAGATCAGCAGCATGGATAATCAGCAGCACTGTCACATATCACCAATTAAAGTGGCATTAATTAGTGGCATTAGTGGCATTTGTGGGGAGTGGTGGTGCAGAGGTTAGAGATGTGGGCTTGTGATCTGAAGATCGCCGGTTCACGCCCCGGCCCGACAACATCAAAAATTGTGGGTGGGGTAGGTGAAACACCCACACTTGCCCCCACCCTCATTCGCCCCACTCTGGGCCCATGAGCAATGCCCTTAACCCCCACCATGTGCTCCCTAAACAGGTCTCTCTTGAAAATGAGTTCTCGTGGCTCAATGAGACTAACCTGGATAAATAAAAAAATTGCAGTATTTTTTTATTTTTTTTTATTTACAGTATTTTCCTGGTTAGGGATTTATGAGTGTAACAGCTTCAGGGTAGAAGCTGTTCCTCAGTCTAGTGGTTCTACACTTAATGCTCTACAACCTCCTGCCTGAGGGGAGCGGGGCAAAACGTGTGTATGCTGGGTGAGTGGGGTCCTTCATGATGCAGGTGGCTCTCTTCCTGCGTCTGGAGGTGTAGATGTCTGTGATGGTGGGGAGACTGACTCCAACAGACTTCTGTGCAGCCTTCACCACTCTCTGCAAAGCTTTTCTTTCTGCAGCTGTGCAGCCTCCATGCCACACGTTGATGCTGGAGCACAGGATGCTCTCCACTGCACACCTGTAGAAGGAGGTGAGGACTGAGCTTCCCAGACCAGCTCGCCTCAGCCGTCTGAGGAAGTAGAGTCTCTGATGAGCTTTCTTGATCAGGCTGGTGGTGTTGTTGCCCCAGCTGAGGTTGTTGTTCAGGTGCATAAAGAGGGAAATGTGTGCTTAAAAAAGACAGAAATATTGCCAGTTCTGATGAGGGGTTATGTGGAAGTAATATGAATAATTACTATTTTACCTGCTGCATCTTGTAAATGACTTCAGTTTGGATGAATAACTGTTTAATTCTGACCAGATTGATGAGAGCAAAACTTTTTTTTTTTTTTTTTAAGTACAAGCCCAAATTGGATTGTTGCTGATTTAAAACAACCCAGAAAGGTCAGTTTATGTAAATTCTTTGTTCCAACCCAATTTTCTAATACACAGTTATTTACAGACATGTATTTGTTTATTTGCAAATAGCCCAAATAGTGGTAGCAGCAACCTTGGAACATCTGGTGCAGCCTGGGGCAACTCTGACAACATTAAAATATTCCTGCTGTAGTTATTATGTAAACTGTAATTGATGTCAGTACAAAAGGTCTGGAAAACTGAAAAGATGACTCATTTTTGGAAACATGGGTTCTTGTAAGAACTTTTGCTGGTCTTGGCCCGCTTGTATGAGCCATTAGCTTACAGTATCAGTCCACTCACAATGAAGCTTTTATTCCCTCAAACTGGGTTTGTTTGGTGTTTTCAACAATACGTAAGGTATGGGTTTGTTATTTTGATGTTTCCAGCAGCATGGATTTTTCAAGTTTCAGCTTTTTCTTTTGTGTACTGGCTCGCGCTATTGTTGTTTGGCATATTGTTGTTTTGGTACTATTAGTACTATTAAGTGTTTAGCAAATTCTTAGTTTAGCATATTTCTTAGTTCATCTTAGTTCTTATTACAGTTTTTCTTTACAATGTATACTTTTGTTGGATGTAACGGGGACCCTGTGTACATAATTTTGTTCCACCACATGTACCACATATGATGTGAATGGCAATAAAGAAACCTTGAGCTTGATATAGTCCAAACATGTTCTTTCTGGATGGTGTGAACCCCTTAAGGATATCAAAGTCTTACTTTTGTCAAAACCTCTACTGGTAAACATTTGCACTCAAAAGTTGACGTTTTAAGTTGTGCTGTTCTGTTCTGCTCCTGTGCTCTGCCCTCACCCAGAGTTTGTCCTTGCCATAATATGCAGATTTTCTGTTCTTAAAGTACAGAGTTTATTGATCTTTTCTGTCCTCTGTCTCTACTCCCTCTGTCCATAACGCTCTCTTCCTTCTGCGTTCACCCCTCCTTCCAGCATTTATTTCAGATGACCTCTCCGCTGTTTCAGAGGCCATGAATTATTATAGCCTGTAAAAAAAAAAAAAACTTAATTATTTTAGTAACTGTAAAAAAAAGACCATATGTACAGAAGAGCAGCTGAAGACTAAGCTGTTATTTTCTAACATATTGTGTTGTAGGTTCTGCATAATTAGAATTTTTTTTTTTTTGCTAGGTAAAACACGTGTGTGTTTGTATGTGTGTGCATGTGTGTGCACATGTCCTAAATTAGGTGAATGACTTGTTGTTACGGAGAGGCTCTGCCAACACAGAGACCCTCTCTTTGACTTCACTTAATCAGTATGCAGCTCCTCTCCACATCACTGTCCTTGTGCTATAAAAAACATATACACGTTCACGTACGTGCACACAAAGGCAAATAAACATACACTTCATTACCATTCTGTTCCTGGCTTCACCTCCGTCCTTGTGGTAAAAATATCATATATATAAAAAGAAGATGAAGAAGAGGAAGAAAAAAAAAAGCAGAACTTGGACCACATCCAGAGTATCAAACACACATGTGTGGATGAATTCTCATGCTCACAATCTTTATTTTTCACACCCATAGGAACACACACAGACACACACACACATACAGAAATGAGGGAAAACATTGTTGCCCATTTTTGCATTTCTGTGGTGTTCAATAAAAACAGAATTGCTAGATTCTGTTCGACTTCCGAATGCAATTGAGTCCTTACCGCTGCATTTGACACTGTTGATCACAGCATCCTTATGTCACGGCTAGAACACTGGGTTGGGATTACAGGGGTGGTGCTAGAATGGTTCCGTTCTTATCTGGGTGACAGGAGTTTTTGTGTTAACTTTGGCAATCATTTATCTGCTTCTGTCCCTCTTTCCTGTGGGGTCCCACAAGGCTCCATTCTTGGACCCCTTCTGTTCTCATTGTATCTGCTCCCCTTGGGGTCAATCCTGAGGAAACATGGTATTTCGTTTCACTGTTACGCCGATGACTCTCAGATCTATCTACCTTTAAAACCAAACAGTTCTTGCTCCATCCACCCTTTGCTAAAATGTCTTGATGACATCAAGACTTGGATGGCTGCAAACTTCTTGAGCTTTAATGATCAGAAGACTGAGGTCATTGTGTTTAACCCAAGCTCTACCACTGTCATTGATCCTGTAAACCTGCACTCCCTTCAGCCTCATCTAAAGCAGTCAGTTACCAATCTCGGGGTAGTGTTAGACTCGGACTTTAAGTTTAATAAACAGATCAACTCTGTTCTACAAAAGAGCTTCTTTCAGCTAAGGCAGATAGCAAAGCTTAAGTCCATTCTGTCCAGATTCGACCTTGAAAAACTAGTCCATGCATTTATTACAACCCGGCTGGA